CGGAGGAAGGCTTGGGCCCTCCACAGGCGGCCCCTCTGCCCCGTGAAGGCCTGGCTGCCGCCGAGAGGATCTCTCCGAGAGGATGGGCAGCCGGTCTCCCCCCCCTACCCCCAACTCCCAATCCCAGAGAGCAGAATTAAGGCTGCTGTCAAAGGAAGGCGAATCATCCCCCCAGGTCTAGCCCGGAGCCTCGCCTTGTGGGGCACGCAAGGCCCGGCTGACAGCCTCTCAGCCGAATGAGAGGCACCACGATCCACCTGCCATCTGCGGTCATCCGGATGAGTGCCACCTCAGCAGGGGTGCCCACGAACGCTCCGATGGCGCCTGCCGTCATCCCAATCCCCGCTTTGACGAAGAAGTTGGGCGGCCTGCCGTCCGCCCCCGTGAGCTTCTCAAAGAGAATGGTGTAGATGCCCAGGCGGGTGGTGGTGTAGGTGGCCTGGCGCAGGAGGCCAGCGGACAGCCTGCCAAGGAAGAGGCCAAACGGTCAGCCGTGCCCCACACACAGCAGCCAATCATCCCCTCCCCCCCTCTGCCACCCACACTTGCGCAGGCCTCCCCCTCCTCCCGGCCCTGACTCACCCACTGACCACCAGGGCCAGGAAAAGCCCCACAAAGCCCTTGGCCCTTTTTGCCTTGCACAATCTGGAAACCACTGGGGTGATATTAACATGTTCATGTTAAGAGGGATTTAAAAAAAATCCTGATCAGCTGATCTTTAAAATATTTAGCATCTTAGCTGATTTGTTGGCTAGCTAGAAAGTAGGGAGAAATGTGGACGGGTTGGCCTCTGAACACCAGAGTTTAAACTTGCTGCTGAGAGGAATTTAACATTAGAGTGGCTACTTAATTTTAGTAGATTATTTGCAAAGCCAGGCCTAGACACCCCCCCTCCTGCTCTGGAAGCTGTGCTGCAAGTGCGGGTGGGGGGGTGCCTTGACCCAGGCGCTACTCACGAAGAAGACTTTGCCCACATGACAGTTTGCCCTGGAATACTTTGCCCTTTCTGGCTGGACAATCCTGCAACTCAGGGACATATGGGGGGAGAGGGAGAAGACAACTTCCTTCTCAACCCCCCCCTTGATGACTGGGCCTCTACACCCCCTCCAGGCCCTGCTCTCCTTCCACACACACCCACACGCCCCGGCCCCTACCAACCCAGTGTAGATGCCTCGGACCCCCTCCTTCTTGAGGATGCTGGCCACGGCGTGGAAGCTGGTCTTGTACTCTTTCGTCTTGGCGCCCTCCCCGCTCAGCTGCATCCGGTTCTTCACCAGGTCCAGGGGCTGCACAAACACTGTGGCTCCCATGCTGGGGGTGTGTGTGTGAAGAGGGGGGGTGAGAGGGAGAGGCAAGCACAAAGGGTTAGGCATGAGACACAGACACCCCCCCTCCAAGAAAGGAAATTCCTCCAAACCGCAGCCCTGTTTCTGCTGCTCCCTGGCACGGCCGGCAGGGCAGGTTGCTCTCTGGGGGGTGGGGGTGTCCCCCTTCCCCCTCCACTCCCTCCCCAACGAGAGGCAAGAGGAGCCTGGTGAACTGCAAT